TGCTTTTGTTAGTTTGCAATTTTTCTTTATAAAACTGTCAGTTTTGCCCGTCTTCTCTATATAAAACTAATGTCTATTATTTTTTGAAGGGCAGTTTAGTTTACAGACTTCATAATCTGTACTGTTTTGGTTGAATGTAGTTTATATTTCCATTTTTTTTTTTTTTTTGTATTTAGTTTTTATTCAAGTGCATCTTTCGTTAACGGAGACTGAGAGTCCATTTTACTTTGGTTTTTGGTTGTTTTGTTTATTTTCCAGTTCCAGTGTTGTGTTCTTTTGAAATTAAAGTTTATTAAACTTTGAGAGGATGTACTTGCATCATTATGTCATTATCATTACTTTAGTTTAAAATGGTCTCCAAACAATATTATTGTTTATCGCAATAATTTCTGAGACGATTAATCGCCCAGCAAAATTTGTTATCATGACAAGCCTAACGGGAGCAGGAACCAACCAATAGGAAAAAAAAAAAACATACTTCGGACAGGCGCCACCATTTTGTAGTTTTCTTTCAATAAGCCTATACTGTAAATCAGCCCTCCTTCCCGTGTTTTATGAACGAATTCAAGTTGTACTATTCTTCAATAAGTAGATTAAAAAACTGGAAAACTGCTAGAACCATTTCACAACAGATATCAAAAAACTTGTTGTTTTAAGTTTCTCATATTGTTTTGCTCCTTTTTGTTTCTTATGTTTATTCTTTTCATTTAATGTTTTTTATATATGTATTACTCAATTTTTATCATTTTGTAACCCCCCCTAGCTTGTAAACTGTAGTTCTGACACCCTTCACGAGTGTTTGTATATATCTTTCTCTTTTGTAGTGTTTTGTAGTTCTGTGTGTTATTAAAAAAAAAAAAAAAAAAAAAATGCAAGTCAAAAGAACTACACTACCCAGAAGCCAACAATGCTTCCAGCTGCTGTTTTCTGCCAAAATTCAAAGAACAGTAAAGGAGGGAGCAAACACTAGCGGAGAAACTGATGTGGTAAAAATAGTTTACAGCCTACAGCCTTATTGGGGCATCTTAGTGTCTTTCTGCCATAGTAGTTTATACTGAAAGGATTATAAGGCTCAGTTGGTAGAGTTGTTGCCTCTCAGTAAGAAGGTTGCTGGTTCAAATCCCAGCCCACGACCTTTCTGGGTGGAGTTTGCATGTTCTCTCCGTGCATGTGTGGGTTTTCTGTGGGTACTCTCACATTTTCTCTCACAGACCAAAAACATGCATGTTAGACTGATTGGTAACTCTAAGTTGTCTCTTGGTGTGAGTGAGAGAGTGAATGGTTGTCTCATTTGTTTCTATGTGTCCCTGTGATGGACTGGAGACCTGTCCAGGGTGTCCCCCGCCTCTCGCATAGTGACTGCTGGATATGGACAATGTGACCCCCATGACCCGAAAAGGAAGAAGCGGGTAAAAGATAATGGATGGATGTAAAGTAGAAACTATGAACCCTGGTAAGCCAACTATGGTCACAGGTTACATGGAGCTGGAACAAGTGGAATGACGGGGAAGAATCACCAACAAATGTGAAAAAATTAAATCAAATGTTTTTTACATATCCATCTCTACCAAAGAGCAGGATCTGAACCCAGTAGAAGAGTTCTTCTCTAGACAGAACTATACTTTTTATACTTGGTTTGCAGAAACAAACCTGCCTTTTAATTAATCGTTAAACTCTAATAATTAGAATCCGATTTGAGTAGTACAAAGGAGTAATACCTACCTAGATTTAATCCCAGCTGCCCAATTGATGCCCACACATCCATCAGTCAGTATAAAACAGTTAATCTGTCCATCCCTGTGGACCACACGGAATTAAAATCTGGGCTGTGATATAATGAGTAAACTCAGCTTCAACACTTCTCCTTTCAAAAGCAAAAAGTTGATGATGATGATGTTGTTTCTTCCTTGCCTTGATCAATCCCACTAATGTTTTATTTTTCCAAAGTTGGAGAAAATTTGTGAGAGCTTCTGCATCGTGTTGGACAGAATTTAGTTCAGACCTCATTCTAACTCTCTACTCAATAAATAGATAAAATCCTTCAGTGTTAAGAGGAGCAGCTGATTAAATTTTATGATCTATTGAAGTTCAGCACCTCAGAGTATTATAATTTTGTAAACGGATGTAAAATATCTAATAATGACCTCCCAATATTTATAAGATGTATTAAATCTGCAGCTGGGAGGAGCTCCTGCTGTCCATGTATCATCGTTCTGGTTAAACTGTTTTTATTATTTATGACTCAACAGAGTACTACACAAACTAAATTTAAAAAAAGATAGCAGAAACATGAATATAATTATGATTTTTTTTTTATCGGAGTGAGCATGTTGTCTTTCCTTAACATCTAAAGCTCCATGTAGAGAAACCTTTCACCTTGTTGTGTTCTCAGCCAATCAGAGGCTCCAGTTCCACTGATCCAGATTTAGCTCAGCTATCAGTGGCAGGGAGAATGTTGACCTTGCAGGCAAGTCGTGGAGGAAACGAGGTACAAGCGCTCACAAAGAACGCAAGACACAACGAGCAGAACATTTTTTATCAGTGCAACAACAAAGATTTGAAAGCGGTTCTTTCCTTTCTGTCCAGAATCACAAATTAAGTAGTGTTCCTAAATACAATTTAGAAACTCTTGATCTGAAAACTCATTTCGTATTCACTGTGAAATGTGAAAATGTAATAGAAACTTAGACACCAGATATACAGTACGACCCTTTCATGCATGAATTATGATACAGTATGTTCATCCAGGATTTTTCTTGGGGCATAAAAAAAGTCTGGAAATTTTTTCTTATAAAAATTTTATTTATTCAAGAACTTTTCCACATGTCCACTCAGCTGGACAGCATACATTTCGAGATGTTTTACAATCGAAATGCTGCATGTTATAATGTGAGCACATTTTGACACTGCTCAACTGAATGCATAAAAAAACATACATATGAAAATGCCTTTTAAAAAGCTGTGCACTGCAGTGACCAAACTATGCATGAAAGGGTTTTACTCATTCCAAACAACTTAAATCTCCTCCCCAGACTCTTCTGCTGTCTTCTCCTTCTTTAAATGAACACCACCTCTGATTGCCTACTGGTACGGTTAAAGTCAATAAGAAAAAAGGTTACGGTTTTAAAAAGTTAGAAAGATCGTAAAGCAGGGCTTAATTTGAGCCAGATCCTGCCCAGGATCTAGGAACTCTTTGACAGGGTGTGTTCCGATAACTGTTTGCTTGGATCCGGGAACTCTCAGACTTACTAATAATAAAGTTATGCAAGGAAGCTTAGTTCTCCAAACTTAGATTCCCCAAAATATGGAATACCATAAATCTGGAATAAATGATGACACAAATGGGCCAGTAAAATCTATGGGCTTTTATTTTTTGCACGAGTCGGATCCTCGATGCCATCTATCAATCAGTCTAGTGGGCCCATTAGCAACTGACCAATCGGTGATCTCAATTTGTCCTGAAGTGAAACTCCCCTCACCTGCAGGAGCTGGAGGAGTAGGGGGGTAGTGTTAGGATGCGTGAGAGAACCGGAGCGTGCTAAACAACTAAAAAGGTAAGAAATGATCCTGCATTTAATAGGCTACACTTACAAATCAAACATGAAGCGTTTAAAAGTAAATTATAAATATGAATTAGTTTGGTATTTTGACATTTGTGTGCCTAAGCGCTGTGTGGTGTGTACGTCCTGGTATCAGTGTTGGCCTCGGTGAACCTTGGTCTCACAACGCTATTTACGTTCCAGCATTGTTTGATTTACGAATTAAGAACTGGCGTAAAGGTAACTCAACAGGCAAAACTGTTTATGGGAGCCAACGTTTTCCACCAGTTCACTATTGCGCCCAGTGTGGGGCAGTTTTTCCCCTACCATTATACAAGCAGGGAACCTCACCCTGTCAACAGAACCGAGAGCCCAAATCGAACTGTACCACCCCTCTACATACCACCCCATCAACAACTTCCTGCACTGACATAGTCCTCATCTAGTGGTGTGTACAGAGCTAAAAAGCTACAGAGGTAGCACTCTGTTTCCCTTACGCTGAGCCGTACCCCCAAGCTCGAAAACAGCGTGCAACACAGTGTCTCTGTCTCTACAGTCTCCACCCCCACCCCGGTCAACAAAAATCCCGGAAGAGATGAGCGCCCTGCCAAGGAAAGTAATGTAGCGGAAACCGTGTGGGGGTTAGTTTCAACCAAACGCATATTATACACCCGTAGACAAACTTATACAGCAATCTAGAGCAATGACAAGGACAAGCAAATGATTTGTATAACTTTGACCTTCATTTGTGACCTTGTCCTTAGAGATGGAGTGGTGAAAAATCTGTGCTACACACCATGTAGTGGTGGTACAAATTTATTTCAAGTTTTGTACGGTTATGGTCCAGACAAGCAAAGATACTTTAACAGGAAAGGACATAAATGTTTGTGACAAACAATGAAAATTCCTTTCGTAACCACAAATCTAAAACATCATGTCGACACGATGAAGGCCTGAAGGATGGAGTGCGCCCAGGTTGCGTTTGGCTGCATCAACCATCTTTGACCTTGAGCTCGTCTGAATGATCAGTTTCCAATCAGATTGGCAGGAATGATTCTCTTGTCTTGAGTTATCGTCATAAAATGAGTTAGAAGTCCAACTTTCAGGCCCTAAACTAAACACTGTAACATGTAAAACACAATCCCCCGTTTTCTCCTACTCTTATCTTATGACTTTAATTAGAACTGATGTCAGCTGACTGCTGGTACACTTCTACTCTGATCTAAACTCCCTCGTGCGCACGCTAGCATCTCAGCTGCACAGCGACAACTTGTTATTTCGCAACACGTTTTAAATTAAGAAACATTTTTACGCATCAATCAAATGTGAGTAAAAGCAGAAGGTCTCGTATCTTGAGTGTTCCACACTGACAGCCCTGAAACTTGACAGGAGCTGCTATTGTTGATGATTCGACCATCTGTGTTTTAATGTAAACACGGGAACACGTCAAGCAGTACTCACCGATGCAGGCGTGCACGCGAACTGTCAGCTGGGTCCGCAGAATGACACTGTGCTTCCTCCCCCTGGACCTGAGGCAAGAGGAAAAAACAAATAAAGCTTGATTTTCTCATCTCAAAGTGTAAAGGCAGGCAAAGACATTTACTTGGGGCTGTGTGTGTGTGTGATTGTCTGTTAAAAAATATTTAATGAACCACTAGCTGGATATTAAAGACATTCGCAGAAAGTAATCATTGGATGTTCAAGTAAAATTAACTTTTGGAGTCAATCTGAGTGTCAAAATTTGTTTCTTTAAAAAGTCTTCAGTTGATCCAAAATGCTGCTGCCTGAGTTTTAATGAGAGTTGATAGGAGAGATTATATCCCTCCAGTTTTAGCTTCATTCCACTGGCTCCCTGTCAAATTCAGGATATAATTCAAAATCTTCTAAACCTACAAAGCTCTTAACAACCTAGCTCCATCTTATATTACAGATATTGTTCCATATTTTCCTTTTTCATTCAACCTTTATTTAGACAGGTAAATCCCATTGAGCCTCGAGGACTCATTTACAAGAGAGACCTGATTTCAACAAAGAATGATGACAACAATGGACAACAGCTACAACAATAAACAGTTATAAAAAGTCATACTGCAGTTTTTTTTTTTTTACAAATAGGATGGCTTAAAAAAAGAAAAGTAACAAAAAACAGCTAGATTCTAAATTGAATGTAGAAAACTAAAAACAGGAACATGTCTGCGTTGGTCCCTGGCAGGAGTCCAACAGATTCTGAAAGCCACTTAGAGAGGTCAAGGTCGAGAGCTTCAGATCTTTTTGTAAGATATTCCAGGAAGCAGGAGCAGAGTAGGAGAAGGCCCTTTGGTCTAGTTCAGTTCGCACTGAGGGAACACTGCAGGTAATAATGTCCTGAGAGCGCACGCTGTAGCTGCACTCACGCAGAGACATGTAAATGTTAAATGGACTGTACTTATATAGCATCTTTCTACCTTATTTCAAGATACTCAAAGCACTTTACACTACAATCTGTGCCTCATTTACCCATTCATACAGCACTCTACTAGATCTTTACAAAGCTAATGGAACAAATCATTCTAAAGAAACTAATCAGAGCTTTATCACATTCATACACTGATGGGACACACATCAGAGGCAATGAGGGGTTCAGTGTCTTGCCCAGGGACATTTCGTCATGTGACTGCAGGTGGATTTGAACCCCCAACTCTTGCATTGGAGGACGACTGCTCTAACCACTCAGCCACAGCCGCCCCATGTAGGAGGAGATGTATGAAGGCAGCAGACCAAGAAGTGATTTAAAGATGAAAATGTACCATTGAGAGAGTCTGAGTGAAGTTAATGATGACCAGTTAACCAGTGGATACAGGGTGCAGTGGAGGGTACGATAACAGAGCACTTCGCTCTCAAGCTGCAGGTTTACTTGTGGTTCCTAGAGTTTCCAAAAGCAGAATGGGAGGAAGATCTTTCAGTTATCAGGCTCCTCTCTTGTGAGACTGACACTTTGTCCAGTTTTAAGACTGGGATTAAGACTTTCCTTTTTGATAAATCCTATAGTAAGGGTTGCTTTGGGTTTCCTGAGCTATCCTTTAGTTATCCTGCTATAGGCTTAGACTGTTGAGAACAAATTGACCACATTTCTTCACTCTGCTGCTGTCTTTACTTGCTCTACTCTCCCTGTTTGTATTTGTAATTATTTCCATCTTAACATGTTTTTTTTTTTTGTCTTTCTTCCAACAGGGGGAACATCTGGACCTGCCACTCTGTTTGTTTCTTCTTCTTGTCCTACCAAACCCAACTGGTCAAAGCAGATGGCCGCTCATCCTAAGTCTGGTTCTGCTGGAGGTTTCTTCCTGTTAAAAGGGAGTATTTTCTTTCCACTGTCTCCTTTGTGCTTTCTCAGGATGAGTGACTGCGACAAAGTGAAGATTCAACATGTCTGCTGCTTCCTTAGAAAAAGAACTTTTACAATGGTATAATCTTTTTAATGTATGTGAATGTGTTTGTTCAGTGCCCTGAGACAATTTATTTTGCAACTTGGCACTATAGAAATAAGCTGAATTGAATTGAATCTGATTCATGATGGCTACCACAGACAGCTGTCTTTAACAAACACACCAACTCAGCCAAATTTAAAGAAGTCACACTCAGATTTCATTGTAGTAGTAGCTGAGAGTCATACACAATAGATACTGTGTGCTAACAGATTCTGCTCAAATTATTTTTTTAAGATTTGACCAAAACAGTCATGGTTCAATCATTTGTCATCTTAGTACTTAGGAAACTAACAAAGTAGTCTGATTTACTAGATTTACAGTATTTGCGCTATGTATTATTGTTTCCTGTAAAAACTGCATTAAAAATTGATCCTTTTCTAAATTCTAGTAATCAGTTTCATTTTTTAGCTCTTGTGATTTGACTTGAGGACAACGGGGTTTTAGATGCGATATAGCTGATTATTTTATTTTTGTTAAAAACTGAGTTGGGATAAAAGATGCAATATAACTGATTGTTTTATTTTAATTAAAAACTGAGTTGATAAAGAAAGATGGAGATGAACGGGGAGCTGTGATAAATTTGCACCGTCATTCTGATACACATCTGAGGAGACAGCAGAACTGTAGCAGACACACGACGCACATTTACAAACTACAGAAAAAAAACATCCATATGTCATTGTCCCTATGTGAACACAATGAAGCTCTGACCACCACCTCTGATTGCCTACTGCTGGTACTGTTAAAGTCAATGGGTCTAAAAATAAAATTAGAAAGAGCGTAAAGGTAATTCAACAGGCAAAACTGTTTTTGGGAACCAACTATTGCGCCCAGTGTGGGGGTTAATTTTAACAAGAGTACAGAATATCACACGCCCATTGACAAACTACTGTATTATACAGCAATCTAAAGCAATGACAAGGACAAGCAAAGACTTTGTATGCATTGTTGGATTGTATACCTGGATTATTGAGCATGGGCTTTGTTGACTTTGTATAACCTTTGACCTTCATTTGTGACATTGTCCTTAGAACTGGAGTGGTGAAAGATTGTGCTACACACCATGTAGCAGTGGTTAGGGGTTAAACAACTACATATTTTTAAAAGTCGACTTATGATAGAAGTGGAGTCGACGTTCACTAGTCGATGTGACGTCAAAGGAACTCAAGACGCTAGTCACAAAAAATGTCATTTATTATTTACAAAAAACAACAACAACAAAACATTGGGAGCGTATATTTATGCTACTACCATTTATCATACTGCACATAAGTCACGGGAAAACCAAAACTATTATTAAGCTGCAAAAGTTAGTTTTATTTTATTTAATCCACTAAACAAAATAAACCGTGGCGGTGGTGGGTTCTCCACCGGCGGTGGTGTGCCCTCATTTTTATTTTTATTTTATTTAGTGGATTAAACAAAATAAAAACTAAAAACAGGGGGTGGGCGGTGGTGGACTCCACCACGGGCGGTTGAACCAGAAGACTCATCTTTAGTGAAATACTTCCACACTGTTGATGAATTTCTACCTGTTTGGAAAGACTTGGCCTGCTCCTCTCCTTCCATCTAGTTGGAAGAATCCGTTTTGTAGCCAGCGGCCCGGCACGGATCACATGACACATTCACTGCCTGTGACTAGTCAACGTGACGTTTAAAAACTTGCGAGATGTCATAGAGTTGACTAGTCCACTAGTCTATTCAATCCCTAGTGGTGGTACAAATTTAAATCAAGTTTTGTTAAAGTTTCTTGAGAAGTTTTGGTCCAGACAAGCAAAGATACTTCAGCAGGAAAGGGCACAAGTGTTTGCAACAAACAATGAAAACTCCTTTAGTAACTACACATTTACAACCTCATGCCGACACAATGAAGGCCTGAAGGATGGAGTGCACGTAGGTTGTGTTTGGCTGCATCAGCCATCTTTGATCTTGATCTCATCTAAATGATCAGTTTCCAGTCAGATTAGCAGGAATGATTCTCTTGTCTGGAGTTATCGGCATAAATCAAGTTCAAGTTTCTTTAATGTCATTCGCGTCACACGAGGTGGAACAAAATTGTGTACTCAAGGTCCCAGGTACACCCAAAAAATAGCAAAAATACAAGTATAAAAAGAGACAGTATATAAGGATCTAAGATATACGCTGAACACTAATAATGTAAAACAATACTTTACATTAAACAGAAGCCTGAACATTGAATAATAACGTCATTAAAAATGAGTTAGAAGTCCAACTTCCAGGTCCTAAACTAGACACAATCACAAGATGTCAGGGTGAAGTATGAGGACATTTTAGAGACAAAGAAACAAACTCTCCCTCTTATCTGATCTGAAGTCATCAGTGATCCAACAAAGTTAAGGTCCTCCGGACGGTTTCTTTTTTTGAAACATTTCGTCTTTTATCCAAAACACTTCTTCAGTCTGAGGAGGTGCAACAAACTCAGTCTTATAAACAGCACCTTTGTTCTACCTGGATTATTGAGCATAAATCAGGATGGATTGAATCCATCTAACAGAACTGAGACGGGATATATGGCTCTTTGAAGGGAACCAGATGTTGACGATCTCTTTGGTTCATAGAGCTGTTTAATTTTGAACGACAGCGACGTCGTCAACTATGACATACGTGACGACGTCATCAGGGCCGTCTTCTCTCCTTGCCTCCTGAGCTGCTGCACTCCTCCTGTTCTCCTTTACATCAGTGAAAAAGTGAAGGAAGAGCATTTTCCTCTGCATTTGAAGAGGAAACATGAAGAAATTATGAAAAGAAAACTAGGATTGGCTCTTTACTGTCTGCAACTCAGTTCTTATTGATCCAGAGTGTTTGTGAACGTCACATCAGTGCTTCTGTGTAATCCGACACTTGAAGCAAAGATTCAGAATACTTGTGCGAGAGCGTGCACAGAGAAAAAATTACTTTTTATGTAAGAAGAAAGGGGAAAGTTAGAGTCAAAGAACTCCTAATTTCTAAATTTGCTTTTAATTGCAGGTAAAATGCTTCTAAACGACATTATTAGGAATCAGCTGTTTCATTTCTGTTTTCCTCCTCGTGCTTCAGGCGGA